AAAAAAAAAAAAAAAAAAAAAAAAAAAAAAAAAAAAACCCAAATTTTCCCGACCTCAAAAACAAAACCAACATTGGGGGGGGGGGGGGGGGAGGGAGGGAAGGAAGCAGAGTGTGGAGCAACGGCAGGATAGCATGACAGTATGTCACATTTGACACAGATAATCCCATTAAGATCTGTAAGGTCTGGTGGGAAGCCAATGAATCTGACCTTGAAATCCCTAAAAGCAATGGGCTGCTCACAGCCCCACGTGCATTTAGTGAAAGGAGTTATTAACCCTCTTGACATCTTCTTCCTTTTAAATTGCGTAGCAAGATTATTAAAATACATATACTATTTGCTTTTGGCAAAGAAGTAATACTCTTCATGTGACTCACGTTACTGTGTGTTGATTAGCCTTTTTGTGTTTTTGGTCCCTCTTACTAACACTAACTTCTTAACTTCAGGCTGAAATAGTAAACACCAGAGCTTCTGACAGTCTGCTGAAGCAGCGTTTCTAAGGACTACCACTTCACACACAGAACCAGAAGAGGCAGTATCTTAGGCAGGCTGCCTGACAGACAGGCTACCTGAGCTCAGAGCAGCAAGCTTTCTACCCACCCCACTTAAAGGCGCAGCCGCCATTTTCCCGCCCCATAAGGCACCTCCTTTCCAAGCGGCGAGGCAGAGATCCAGCCGCTGCGGGTTCTCGCGAGAAGATGGTCTCGCTGGCTATTTGGGTGTCTTCTCGCGAGGCTTGGGCTGTGCTGAGGCGGAGTGTCGCTGTCGCCATGGAGCAGCCGCTGAACGGTCCTCCGGGGCTGTCTACCATCCTAGCGGTGAGGAGCCGTCCGCGGGAGGGAAGGGGAAAAGGCACCGATCCGTGCGTGTAACGGGAGCCTCCCTTTCCGTTGGGGGAGGACTGCTCGCGCTGGGTGCTCCGTCACGCAGGTGAGCACGCTCCGTGACAGAGCTGGGTTTTGGTTGCGGTGCGGGAGGCGGCAGGGCGGTCGTCACGGCCGGGCTCGCGTCTCACCTGGTCGCCGCGTCTCCTTTCTCTTTCTCCGCAGAAGACGGACTGGGCCGAGCCCTGGCTGCTGGGGCTGGCGGGTTTCCACGTCCTGTGTTTTCTCCTGACCTGCTTCTCTTTTCAGCACTACCGGGTGCAAATAGGGCACTTTCTGTGCATGGGTGAGTAGCGCATCCGTGCTTCCGTGAACTCCTTAGGGATGGTTTTCTTGTTTAACAAAGAGATTTGCAACTCATAAAGTGATCGCGAAGTATTTATCTTGTGGTAACGTGTGTGTCTGTACGTTATGTACTTAAATGTTTCAGAACATTGGAGAACATTCAGAAAGCTACAGATACGTAGCTTACGAGACTGCATAAAGTAGAGACTTGAAACTTTATTTGTACTGATAGGTGAAGTATAGATAGGTTTTTGCTGGTTAGTGCTGGCACAGCAGGCCAGGAAACTGTTGTTGCACTGGAGAAGTGGACAAGAAATTGAAAAACAGACAGAAGCGGTTTCCTGCTCTGCAGTATTTAATGCTGCCGTTTGGTCAGTGCAGCTTTCAGATGGATTTATTTCCTTTCATTCAAATGGAACAGGGTTACTGTAAGCCCTGCTGCCAGCTGTGACAGTGGTGTGACAGAGCAAGACTTTACAGAGGCCATTTTAAAAATTAAATTAATTTCAATAATTTTTTAATTAATTTTTTAAATTAAATTTCAGTCTGGAGAACAGGAGACTTAGAGGAGACCTTATTGCTCTCTATCACTACCTGAAGGGAGGCTGTAGTGAGCTGGAGGTTGGCCTCTTCTCTCATGTAACTGGTCATAGGACTAGAGGGAATGGCTTCAAGCTGCACCAGGAGAGATTCAAGCTGGACACTAGGAAATACTACTTCTCTGAAAGAGTGGTCAGGAACGGGCTGCCCAGGGAGATGGTGGAGTCACGGACCCTGGAGGTGTTCAAGGAATATTTGGATTTTGTGTTGAGGGATGTGGTTTAGTGAGAGCTAGTGGTGATAGGTGGATGGTTGGACTGGATGATCTTGAAGGTCTTTTCCAACCTTGGTGATTTTGTGATTCTGTGAATAAAGATAGCATGGATTTGAGTTAAATCTATATTTTACAAGCAAACCCTCATATGCTTTATGACAGCCTCTTGCCATGGGTTGGGTTTTCCTGTTTGTATTTTTTGTTATTATTTTTACCCAGTACCTCAGATGTGACACGTTCCTGCAGAAGTGGAGATAGGATAAACAATTCAGATGGGTTTGCAGTCAGTGCAGACTTCTGATACATAACTCAGCTAAAGCGAAAGTTTCAATAACAGAAATTTCCTCCAAAATGTAATCTACAAATCAGTAATTTCTGTACATCTCTTTGAACTGCAGAGCTTACAACTATCCACAGAGGGCCAAATCAAAATGCGCTGCGTATGACACATCAGGCTGGAAAGTTCCCAAAATACAGGATTTTCTTTCTTAACTTCATTACTACACATACAGAATTGCCACAACATCCTAGGTCTATTTACCTCAGACTATCTAAAACATTCCCAATGTTCATAACACTAGCTTGAATGCCCAAGTTCTAAGTGTGCTTGAAATACATTGGAACTGATAATTACTGGCTTTTTAACCCAGATGTGATTGATGTATGATTGTTGTTAACAGGAAGAGTGGATAAAATTGCCTGCATTAAGTCCCGGTCTGTTTGTATTTGAAAACCTGTACTACTTTTGGTACGTCTGCAATAAAAATAACTTTGTATTGCAGGTAGGCAGACGTAACTAAAAATATATATTAAATAGTCACATTGATTCACGTCGGCAGCTGAGCAGGTGTTTATATTATGTAGTGCCATGCTGAGAGAATCCAGCTGATGGCAAAAAGAAGACAGCATATTCATTGTCATGGCACTCCTTGTATCACTAAGCTAGCTGTTCAGTCACATTGTGCAAGTCATCTCTAAAGTCACTGAATCCGATTTTTTTTGCTGTTTTTTTTGGTCGGGTAAGAAATGATACAGAGATAAATTTAACATTTTGTGATTCCATTGCTTTCCTGCTAAACTTGTGATTGCACTGGATTGTTCTACTGTTTCGGTATCTTTACACTGCATGTATTTGTTGAGTAAGAATATATTAGCTTTTATCTCACTGCATCAGAATGTTCTGCTGTACACCTGTTGAAAATCTGCGAGTATTTTAAGACTTAGACCATGCAGTACAGGAAAGGTTTGGTGTAACTTCATAAATGCACTTTAAGTGCTTGCTATATAAATTAGAATACTAATCCTTGAGACAAAAGTGTGTCTTAGAGCATAATATCATACAAATGTGCAGAAGATCTTCCTTACGGTAAAGGTGACAGAGCACTGGAACAGTTTGGAACAGTTTGCCTAGAGAGGTGGTGGAGTCTCCTTCTATGGAAATATTCAAGACCTATCTGGACGCCTACCTGTGTGACCTATTGTAGGGTACCTGCAGGGGGATTGGACTCAGTGATCTCTTGAGGTCCCTTCCAACCCCCATGATTCTTTGATATCTGAATTCCATACCAGTTATAGGGAAGCTTTGACATTTCTTTTTACAGACGTAACTTAAAAGCAGTCACAGAAAAGATTGTTGAAAAAACTTTTTTTTTTTTTTAAATTGATAATTCATTACCTGAGCTCTTGTAAGCTCAGATAAGTAAGATTTTGTTTGTTTTTTTTTTTTGTCTGTAACGTGTTTCTTTTTCTCACTACTTGTTAGTAATTATATGGGATGTTAATTCAGATCTGCTTTTGTTCAATTAAATAGTGAATATGTAGTTTTAGCTTCTACATATCAACAAATTGTACTGTACGGTATATATATATCTCATACATAATGCAGAACTGATGGCAGATTGTTTTCAAAGAGATATTGAGTCTAATGCTTTTTTTTCTTTTTTTGTAGTGTGTTTAGTGTACTGTGCTGAATATATAAATGAATTAGCAGCCATGAACTGGAGGTAAATGTTTTCAATTTCACATTTAAAAGCATGTTCTTCTAAAATGTTTTTTTTTCATACCATTCCCCAAAAAGCCTTTAACCTAAAAGAAAGCCACTTAGCAGTAGAATGGGATGGCAGGGAGTGTGTTGCATGAACACAAAACTTTTGAGAAAGCGAGACTGGTACAGGTAAAAGAGCAGATGGGATGTGAGCTTTGGGTTTTTTTCTTGGTTGAGTGGGTGGTGATGGGTTGTTTGTTTTGTTTTGGTAGCTGTGAAAGTTTAACAAGCTGAAGTTAAGAACTACTTCTCAAAAACATTGGTGCTATTTTATATGTTTATCTGTGTATATAAAAGTCATTAAAATTTGCCTTTTTACTAAACCTATGTATCAGACGTAAATCAGTGGCTTATTTTTGTAAGAATTGAGACATTTTCCCAATGTAGCTGAAAATCATATGGTTAGCAATGAAGTTTATCTACAGAAGTACTGTAAATCTGTGCTTTACTTACCTAAATTACAACCTCACTGCATTTAGTAACCACTTAGTTACCTCTTCTAATATGAATAATTAAAATGAATATCTAAGAAAGTAATTTAAAAGACTTCAGAATAAGCATGACTTCTGAGGCACAAATATACCTTCCTGTTTATATAGTCACAGTATGTTACTTTATCTGTGGTTGTTATACGGGCTCCTGAGCCTTAAAGAAACCTAATACAGTATCTTTCTTCAAGCTTCATGCAGTAGAATGCAGGCATATGTTTGGGGATCCCAAGAAGTAGGATTGTCTGTATGTTATCCATGTTGAATATTTATTGTGAAGGTATAATGTTCTGTGAATCCTGCTGAACAAAGATTTCTCTATTTTTTCTTCTTTCAGGCTGTTTTCTAAATATCAGTACTTCGATTCAAGAGGAATGTTTATTTCACTTGTATTTTCAGCACCTCTACTGGTGAATACTATCATAATTGTGGTGTGTATTTATATGAATATCTTCCATCTTAAGATGGTAATTGAATGTATATGAATGGATTTAAATGTAATGATTTACTTATTTTTCAGGTCAACTGGGTTTACAGAACTTTAAATGTAATGACTGAACTGAAGACACTACAGCAGAGAATTAAAGCAGGAAAAGATAAGAAGAAGTGAAAGTGTCCAATACTTTTCCATTTTTAATTTTCATAATACTTGTCCAGATAATCAGTCCTTCTGTATGTTTATCCAGAAGCAGCAATTTTTTGTCTGATATCTGGGACTTTGCAACTTATGGCTATGGACAGTGAGGAAAAAAGTACCCATAGTACATCTGATCTTCTTAAATTGAGAAAACTAGGCTCACCAGGTCTTTGTATACTTCAGTGTGAGCTAATTTTTCACCATGATCAAGTCTGCTAATAGCACTGAGAAAGAACCTTCCAGTTTCCATTTGCCTGTATCTTTTTTTTTTTTTTCCCCCCCCCCCCCACAAAAACTATGTTGAGTTGCCTTTATCAAGTAGCCAGTCTTCTGTTAACTTATGCCAATGGGAGCTATGTTGTGAATTCAAGTAAATGAAAGAACTGCATTCAGAATACCTCAGGAATCCATGCTTCTGTGAAGCGTTTCACTTCTTTATAAATCACGTTTCATACTTCCTTTGTGTATTGTATGTCAGTGGATAGTTCTGATACAGTAGCATTTTATAAATCAAAAT